AGGTAATATTAACAGATTTATCACAGATATGGATATAATTGAATATTAAAGAATAAGAGCAGAGATTTAAGGTAGATTATCCTAGCTTTTCTTTTTCTAACAGGGGCTGTTTTTGTTTTTTTTTGGCTTAAAAACTAAAGCAACTTTTCTTTTGGGTTCTCATTCATTATCTGGAACTTCTTCCTGATCACCAAACCTTTTTCTTCTATAAGGTCTTGAAGGTTCAAATCTTTAACATGTTTTCTTTTAGATCAAGTAAAATAGGTAGGTCTTTTAGATTCGTTAGCAGGGAGAAACAAGGACTCATTTTCATCTAAATAGAGGTTCAAAAAGGTCTGGGCTTCATTTTCTTGAGCTTGAACTGAAGCATCATTATTATTTATTGATAGGGATTATTTCAAGGACTATTGTTCTGTTCAAGAGAAGTAGTATTGCTTTTTGTAGCTACTGTATCCAGATTATTTTGAGACAAAAGATTAGTGCAGTTATGATCATAGTAGCCTGGCTGTCTATATTGATTACAATTAAAACAAAAAAGTTATTCTAGTTGGTCAAAGATCATCTAAGGGATCACATAACTCTTGGAGTTGCTTTATTACTGCAGTTAAGGTTTTGTAAATTTGATAAGAACTTTCTCTATATTAGAGGAGTTTACTACTAAAGGGTTGCTAGAGGTCACAACTGCAAGTTACGAGAGGGTAAATTGAGGTTCAAATATTGAGAAACTTGAAGAAAGGCTATAAGGTAGAGGTTATAGAAGAAGGGATTCTGTTTGAAAGAATTTTCAAATGCCTTAGCATGTTTATAGGCAGCAGACAAAGTATTAGGCATAAAAGAAGCAATAGCAGACAATTTAGGTTTTAGGCTATTAATGAATATCTAGGCTTTGATGGTGTCTGAGTAATGATAACTATCTAACTCTACATGTTGGAGAAGTTCTTTAATAGATACATGATATGAATCAACATTCTCAATAAGCCTTGCTTTCTTTGAGTTAGCTGAGTAAACCATTTACTTTCAAGAGAAGGAGTTCAGAATTGATGATAAAATGAGAATGAAAACTTTGCCCTCCATGATATAGTTATTTTACTGATCGATAGCAAGTCGAATAGTCCTAGCAATAACCTACCAAGTAGCTGCTATACCTTTCAAATAAGAAATAACGATTAGGATTTTTCAATTATCTTGAACTTGGTTAGCTTTAAAGGCTTTTTCTATATCCTTAAACTAAGTAATTAGGTCTTGTTCTCTACTAGAAAAATCAGGATAAGGAACTAGATTGAGTTCGCAATTTTAGACTAAAAGGTTAATAGTGGAGATTTTGATTTGAGGAGCAGGATTATTTTATATTTGAAACACAAAATTTTCTATTTGGTAGGCCAAAAAGGTTATAGGATCACTTTGAGGATTAGTTTGGTTGTTCTGGGTGACAGGTAGTTGTTGATTATTATTATTAAGATAAACCAATAAAGGGGCTTGAGGATGGTTGTTATCTTGATTTATATTATCTGCAAAGATATCACTATTTTCATATGTTTCGTTATAGAGATCTAAGTTAAAATAGTTAGTTTCTTGATAAGCAGTTAAAAATTCATTTAAGAGGGTAGGTAATCATCAGATCATTCTTCATATCAGAAGCTAAAGATAAAGAATCTTAATAATCAGTTAGGTATATTTCTAATTTCAAAAGTAGCAAGTTTTTTGAATTACCAGATAGAGTATTGTGAAAAGGAAAAAGCTAGTTAAAAAGTATCAAACCAATGCCAAACCTTTGAAACTGCAGGGAGAGAAGTTGAGGTGGATAACAAATAGAATAGAAGTCATTGTGATAATATCTAATTAAGTAGTTAATTGCTTGAGGAGTTTTGCCAAACTGATAATTATATCAGTTATGTTCTTTTATATTTCTAAAATATTTTTGAAATTGTTTATATGGTCCTGAAAACTGATAAACAGATTATTTCACACAATTGGCACTAAATATTACTATTGTATTTTCGGAAGAGCATCAGTAAGAGCCAAGTTTAAATTAGCAATAGTGAATGAAAGATGAATTAGAGTAAGATAGAGACAACAATAGGTAACTATTTAGAAGTTTATGAATTAATTATGTAAGCTCATGGATATCAATGTCTTCGAATGTATGTGACATAATATTGTTATAATAATTATAAGATATAATAAATAAATAAATATGATTGTGAAGATGTATTCATGATATAGATATCGGGATGTATAATACTAACAATACTATGAAGATGTATTCATGATAATACAAAGGAAAATTCAATATAAAACTATTTATTCAAATATCAGGAAGATCGAAGTCTGAGAAAACTTTATTCAAGCAACTAACAGGTCTTTAAATATATTTAAAAATCATATAGACTATTTACCCAAGGTTACTATCAGTATTTCCTTTCTCCATAGATTTATCCTTTTCAATGCTGACTCCTTTATCCCTCAATAATAATAAATGTCTGATATAAATAATAACTACACCCTGCCTCAATGAATTTATTAAAACCATTCTCATAACAAGATTCTAGTAAATTTTTTAATAGGAAATACTTAGATTAATAAATGTTTTATACTCACGTGCTAATTTAACAAGAATAAATCGATATAATTTAATAAACAAATATTTAGAACATAAATTTCTGGTCTTGAAACACTTACTCACTAAATTGCATATAATACAAATATTAATATGAATTAAAAGATATTTTCAAATGCTAAATTTATAAGAACACAGTTTTAATAGCATACACAAATTAAACATTTTGCTTACAGCTTAAGTAAATCTCTTGCTTTGTCTTTATTTTTTGGTACACCAATCCCGAATAGATAACAAATCAATGTTTTATGCATTCCTTTAGTGTTATTCATGCTAGCAGATTTTTGATAATAATCAAATGCTTTATATTTATCGATTTCAATACCAATTCCCAGATGATAACAGTTTGCAACTTGAAAAATTCCATTAGAGTTACCCATCTTTGCAAATTCTTGGTAGTGAGAAAATGCTTTGCCTTCATTTTTTTAACCTCAATTCCATATTTATAACAATACCCGTACCAGAATATTTTGTAAGAATCTTCTGTGTTAGTACAGGTTTGGCAATTAAAAATTGATTCATTTAAGTTAGCTGGTTTTACTGGTGGGTTTTCTTATTCTATTTTACTAGATATATTGGCAATTGCCAAAATTCTACTTTTAACAAATTTTAAGCACCATTCAAATGCTTTCTTTTGATTTTTGTCAACACCAATACCATCTTATAGCATCTTCCATTATGAAATTGTTCCAAAGGATTCTGTCTCCTTGCAGACATTAAGTACCAGCTATATTCCTTTTTTTCATCTTTAGAAGTACTCTTGCCATTTTCATAACACATTCCAAGTTTATTTTGAGTGCTTTACTTTGTTCTTTTTTATTCCAAAGCTATTATAATAATAATATCCAAGATAGAATTGTGCAATACTAAATTTTTTTTTTGCATTTTCATCTACATTAAGGAATGTACGAAATGCCATTTCTATATTTATACTTGTTCCAATTCTGTCATGATAAAATCTTCCAAGTAGACATATATGCTTTGAATTTGTTTTGCTACTTAATAACCAAATAAAACACTTATCAGTGTTTTACAATTTATAGCAATATATTTTTCAATATTTTTGTTAATATCTTCTTTACTAAAGCCTTCATGATGTAATTTTGAAAAAACCAAAAACAATAAATCTGCAATCCTGGTCATATTTTGAGTTTCATTTGCTTAAGCACTACTGAAACTTTCATTGCTGCTGCTTTTTTTTCTTGAATCTTTCTCTGATATTCTATGTTTTAACATAAGTTTCAGAATTTGTATGAAATTTAACAAAGATCATTTGGTAAATTTAAATTTATTGAAAACACACCTTTGCTAATAGCAACATATTCTTCAAAAAAAAAATAATTATATTATTTGGGCGGTCAAAAGTAGAAACCACCCAAATTAGTAAATTTTCTTCAGACTTTAAATTAAAATATCTCAACAGCTATTAAACCAAACTTGACAAAATTTTCTTTATTTTAATTCTATATAGTTATAGAATTAAAATAAAAAAAATTTATTGGGTTTGGTTTTATTGTTGTCAAAATATTTTAATTAAAAGTTTTAAAAAAACTTATTAAAAATAATTTGGGTGGTTTCTACTTTTGACCTCCTATTTAGGAAATTGGCATGTTAATTATAAAGCACTCTAACTAGGGTCCATATTATTTCACCAACAATCACTTCACCAATAGCTCATTTAGCCAACATCACGCCAGGTAAAATTTAATAAAAATATATGACTATAACTAATCAAATGCTTAACCCTAACCCTATGCGATGTCAGTGAATTGATCGGAACCGCTCTATACATACCATCTGTATCATGACATCTTAAAGACTCAGAGGAATTGTTATTCACTTTTTCGGATCCAAAATCTATTAAACAACCTCGTTAGATTAGTTTATAAATTAGAAGTATTTGAACTATAATAGTGAATACTATTTGAATCAGTATCGAGTACCTTTCAATATTACCAAATTCATGTTCCGTAATATTAAATAATTTATGTTATTTAAATACAAACATTGCAGGCTTGTGAATTAAATATTGAAATCTATTTTTGTGCTTTGCAAACTACTATGATCAATGAATTTCATACATCAAACATGCTGGAATTTGAAAATCGGGGATCTTTTGAAAATTGCTTTGAATACTAAAATTGAAGAAAGCTTTATGAAGACATTTTTCATTTAAAGTTCAAGACTATTGCCATAAGAGCTAACTTCTTAACGGGTGTTATTGCTAGAAAATTAAAATATAACAGGAAATCAGGAATCTTTGAGATTGTTATTTTTTAAAGAAATGATAATTTATCATTAGTAGCTATCTCCCTAATTAGCAAATCATAAATTTACGTGATCATCTACTAATCACAGTATATAATTTGAAAAGCATGATCAATCAGTTAGCCTCTATTATTTTAGTGCTATTCCATTTGTAAGCTACTCTATTATAAGCTAAAGCTGTAAAATTGATAAAAGAATGGATAGAGTTACTTATATTTACCTGATACCTCGTCTAATATTAATAGCATATAAATATCAATATACTCAGTTAATTTTATTGTAGCTTATTAATGACGTTTATATAATAATATAGATTATTTATCTTTAGTAAAATTACTCAGTTCTGTAAGGTCCTGAAAAAAGTAAATCCTAGATTTTAGAAAATTTTCTGGGCTTTCTCTGGATGATAAATTTTCCGGAAATTGAATTTCAGCTCTTATGAAATTTCCTGGGTCTTCTCCGGATGATAAATTTTCCGAAAATTGAATTTCAGCTCTTATAAAATTTCTTGGGCTTTCTCTAGACGAAACATTTTCTGAAAAGTGGATTTGTGTTTTTATAAAATTTCCTGGGCCTTCTCCAGATGAAATGTTTTCCGGGAAATGGATTTGTATATTTATAAACATTTCTGGGTCTACATAAGAAATTTTTATTTTGTTATCCATCGTTATGTCATCTGTCGTATGGCCAGTAAAGCTTTTATACAATTTATACAATGTTTTAAAAACCATGCTAGCTTCTGGTCATTTTTTTGGCATGGCATCCCAACATTGTTTCATCAATTCTGCATATTCAGGTGGTGTTCCATAAGCAATTTCTGGTCGAAGTCCAATAAAATAGCATTTACAAGGAAAATATCATGTTTATGGCTATAAAACGGAGGAATTCCTGTAGAAATCATCCACATAATAATTTCTAAGCTGTAAATATCAGCTTTTGCAATATAACGATTAGGTTTATTACATAATACTTTAGGAGCAATATATGGAATACAGCCATAAACACTATTTAAAGGTTTGTCTTCTGGATCGCAAAAACCCAAATCACTTATTCTTATAGAATTTTCATAAAATAAAATATTGCTAGGATGCAAATCCCTATGAACCGATTTTGTATTATGTATTGCAAATAAACAATGAGATATTTTATAAGGAATCTGGCAACGTTCTTTCCATCCAATGATGGAATTATTTTTTATCAAATATTCCTGTAAATTAAAATCTATAACATCTAAAACTAATGAAAAATCTTCAGTATCTTTATCTTTAGTCAATCCATCTAACAATGTTAGTTGCAATTTTATCGATAGTGAAATTTGATATAATCTGAAAATTTTGGATAAATTATTTAAATAATAAATTTAACTAAATGAAACAACGCGCTGCTTCCTACTTCATTAATCCAATTACCAGTCGATTTTTTTGATTTTTTTAGCTTTTTTAGCATAATGTTGTGGTTGCTTATTCTTTCTAAAACTTTTTCATCACTATTCCATGCATCAAAAGGGCCATTCGTCTATACTGCCTTATATCTTTCGGCGTAACTACCCTTCGCTATATAATTTGGATTTATTTTAAGCTTTTTGTTAAGAATATTTTCAATTATTAGATTTGGCCTTATTGTGCGTTTTTGGGCCTCTTTAATTGCATTATCAATTTCATTGTTGTTAGTTCATTCGTGATAATTTTGTTGTAGGTAATTTCTAGTACAAAACTCACAATATTGTATAGCACAAGTCTCATTCTTGAAATCTTTGCAATAACACTTTTTACCGTCCTTATAGATAACACTTAAGTTATCAAATCTTTTTTGAAGTATATTAAATAAATATTGTCTTTCATGTTTATCAAGGTTCTTGTTATTAAAAAATTGAGTTTTGAAAAATTTATATTTTTGCTAATTTGTTCTGTAAATATCGAAGACATCGACCATGCAGTATTTAAGAAATACGTATCTTTGTTGATTTGATCCATAAATACTTGTATCTATTGAATATATAGAATCATAAAAATAATCTTTTAATAACATATTCAATAAATATTGCCTTTCATTTTCATTAATATTTTTATTATTGATAAATTCTTTTTTAAGAAATTCATATTTCTATTTATTTTCTTTGTTAATACCTAGTGATCGCACAGTACTATAGAAATTCTCATTTAGTAATTTCTCATTTATAGCATTTAACCTAGTATAAATAGATATAGAAAATTTATTATCAGTAAATCTATAAAATTTATAAAAAATATTAATTTATTACTATTATTACCCTTTATTGCCAGCTTCATTTTTATAA